CACAATGCCAGATTCTCACATAACATGCCCATTATCATCCAAGCTGCTCCCTTGCTTCCTCATCCAGGAGTGGAAGCTGTGTTGGAACACCCACAGCACAGGGACAATGTGGGAACACACACAGGAGGAAAAAGATGGGAGAGCAGCTCCCTGTGCCAGCTGCTCCCTGATGAATAACAATGTTTATTATGTCCCTGTGGGGTATGCAAGGCTGCTTTTTACATCCCTGCCTCTCACACATGCCCACAGTGAGAGCTGCTAGCACAGGGTAACCTTGTTCTGTGAAGCCTCTTCCTAGAACTGGTTCCTGCACCTAAGAACCTACTGGTTATTGCATCTATTCAAAATTATTCCTGCCTGGAAATAGGCAGTTTTTTCCCCTCCCATCTCAGGTTATTAATAAAACACAATCAATACTGCCCTAGGGCTTTTTTTTTTTACTATTTCATTTGAAAATTAAGGAATTAAAAAAGATAATTTCACAGGATGTTTCTGACCCATGCCTGGAAGTGTTCAAGGCCAGGTTGGATGGGGACTGGAGCAACCTGGTCTAGTGAAAGTTTCCCCTGGCCATGGAGGGGGTTTGGCACAAGATGCTTTTTATGGTCCCTACCAACCCAAACCATTCTGTGATTCTATTTCTGTTCTCACGCTGGACAATCCCCAAACACACAAATATTTAATGCCTTTTCCATGCTTTCACTTCACAGAAAGAGGGTTTGCAGTTGTTCCTAAGAAAACCAAACTTATTTTGCCCTCATGTTTCTGGATTATTTTGACATCACGTTAGAGGGAAAACCTGAAGCTCAGCCACATTGCTGGACACAAGAAAATCTGACAGGTGAAGCTTCACAGAAAGAATCACAAGTACAACTTCTCACAAGTCTGGTGGCTATTGTCTGCACTCCAAAGAGTTTTTCTGCACTTCAAGCCTAAAATGTGATGGTTGTTCTCTAGAAAAGTAATTTTTTTTGTATCAAAGAAGATTGTGTTGAGCTAAAGAGGAGCAGGCAGAGAGAGTTTCTCATTTTCCTAAGCATATGACAAACCTGTATCGATTTTTCTTTTTCACTAGTTGCCTTGAAAAAATTAACAAAGCATGAGTTAAACTGATCTTTTTTTTGTTTTCTTAGCAGATTTAAAGTAAATTGGAACCCTTTTTTCACAAAGTTAAATATTTTCTGTTCTTTGGATGTCTTTTTAAAATGAATGTCAATGCAATCAGATAAAACCATTTTGAAATACTAACGAAAACACTTCACCATTTTTTCTTTCTTTGATGACATTTGAAGACAAAATTAAAATGGGAAATGAACTGTGCTTTCTTAGCTTATTTTGTTATTGGCTGACACAAGAGTTTACACCTTTTTTCCACCATTGATTAGAAAGACATCTGAGGATGATTTTCCACAAAGCAGATTATAGAGAAGAATCCAATCAGTGTACTTGAGAAAATACATTTCAGTGGGAGCAGAATAGAGAAACTCAAAGAGAACAGAGACCTCTGCTAGAATGTTTCTAGATGATCACAAGCAAATACCATATGAATGTGATTAATTTCTTACAAACTGATACACTGTGAAAAATTTAATCTCTAAGCTAATGAAATCTTCTTAGCAGCTTTACCTGTTCAGTTTATTTACTGGTGAGCTAAACTACAGATTAGGAGCATCAACATGCACTTTCTGTGCTCAAAGGCCATGCTGAGGTGAAATAAGTATCTTCATAGCCTGATATTTAGATTTGAAGAGAGTGTGACAGGGAGAAAACAGAACCAAAAGCCTCAAAGGAACAATAGAGCTTGTTTCCAAAAATATTGATTGAAGCGTTGCTGTTTGAAGTCAGCTTGGTTGGGGCAGGTGGCTGATGAGCTGAAGGATCATGCACTGTTTTGACAGGAAGGCAAACATATCAGTTTAAATTTAACAATCCCTCTACTCAAGTTGTCATTTCAAATCTTTCTTATGCCATCGACCTGACATTAGATCAATAAGATTATGACATTTTATGGCACATCAGTGACACAGCAAAATATTGATTGAAAATTCTAGGGGATGGAAAAATACCAGAAAGCATATATTACATATGTGGGTTTTCTTTTGGTTCTTTGGGTCTTTTTCTCTAGTAATGACCTCTTTTACACCGAAGATGTTAACTGGTTTCATCTTTGCCATATCACTTTATTTAGTAGTTACTGACATTTTTCATGGGATCATTTCTGACTGAAGAAACTTTGACTAGCCCTAAAGGAGGCCAGTTAGCCAAACTCATTACCTCATTACTTTTTGTCTGAATATAAACACTGAAAAGTATTTGTTCTCCTTGACTGTTTTACTGCAATCTTATTTTCATCTTTCTATTAGTTCTGTATGTGAGAAAGCATCATTACAATTTTTCTTGAAGTGTAGCATGATATGCTCTCTATGCATAAAACTAAATCATTATGAATGATGCCAGAAGGTATGTTAAAATGTTATATTTTTAGCAGTAGTCTCAAAGTCTAAATGGGCAAAAAATAACCTTATTTGAAGATTGACCATAAAACTCAGGACAGCCTAAACTATTGCAAGTTTAGAAAAGCACACTAAAAAACCACAACTTTGTAAGACATAATACCGAGCACTAAATGCAGAAAAACTAAATTTTTTGTTTTTTATTTTTGTTTGTTTGTTTGTGAGGTTAAGAAGGTGTAACAGCAACAGAGGTTATATTTGGTGATGTCAAAAATTTGATTTCCATTACCCTGGGCTTTATAATTTGAAAGAATGCAGCAGTGTCCACATTTTGGACATTGGAGGGTTCTGTCTATGACAGCAGCATTCCTGTTATCTGTGTAATTACCTCCCAAGTTACTCTCCCAAGAGTTGATGGGGAACGACGGGTGCTTAGCGGTGTGATTTGCATAACCTACTGTGGACATATGCATTAGAAAAAATTAAACACATCTATAGACAGCACTGGCAACTTTGTCCAGCCCAATAATTACAGACCCTGGAGTGTCTAGCACAGCTCTAGCCATCTGGTCCAATGAATCCCTGCCTGCATCATTGTCCAAATAAAGCAATCTTCCACTTCATGTTATTTCTAGGAGAGATATCCCCTTAGAGTGCAATATTCCCATCTGCACACTAAGGATCTTCTGAGTGAGGGAATAGTCATTGAAAAACTGATGTGCCAGATTAGACTGAGACTGAAATTATGGATATTAAAATTTTCCTACAGCTATGCAGAGCTTGACTTGAACCACTCAAGGTTAACCATGTGTTTCTCCATGGTAACTCTTCTGATCACGACAGCAGGTCATTTTCAGTATAAAAACATCAGCTGTGTCTCTGCAAGAGGCTAGAGCCTAAAATGTAGAAGAGCAAGAGAGCATTCCAGGGAATACCTTTTTCTCATGCCCAAACTCGCAGGGTTTGCTACTGGCTAGTGCCGGAGACAAGAAACACAGATATTGGATCTCACTAACCACATATGTTCTCAGGATGGATTCCTCCTAAAGGCTCCATGGAGGTCAAAAAATAGAGATAACTGAGACTAAATTGAACTCTTGATTTGAAAAAGTGGGAAGTGCTATTTCAATGTGTTCCTGTGATATGTGTGTGCATTACATGTATCCCTGCATAGATGTGTATTTGTATTATTCTTACTACGTTTGAATTGCCTATTCCATGGTGCAGGACACTGAACTTGCTGAACATCACTGGGTTCTTGCAGTCCCTTTGCTCAAGCTTGGCCAGGTCCCTCTGGATGGTCCCTTCCTTCACTTGTGTCACCTGTCCAGCTCAGCTTTCTGTCAGCTGTAAAGGTGCTGGGGCTGCACTCGATCTCACTCTCTGTGGCATTGATAACGACATTAAAGAGCCCCAGTCCATGGCAGAGTCCTGAGAGGAAACCCCTCATCCCTCACCTCCACCTGCACACAGAGCACTGAGCACAGCCCCTGGCTGTGTCCATTTGGACACCTGCTTCTGCACCAAATCCCCCAGAGTTCACAGCCAGGGCTCTCCAACATGGAGATCAGGATGTTTTGGTGGGCACTGTGTCGAGAGCCTCGTGGCACACTGGGCACAGCAGGGCCTACAAGTCTGGAGGTCCAGGGGCTGAGCCCTGTTGGCACAGCCATTTCCAGCCAAATCCAAGTTGGCTCCACTGTTCCAGGTGTGCCAGGTGTGGCTCTTTGTGACAGAGACGCCTTCCAAGGGCCCTTGGCAATGTGAGGCTGCATCAGGACCGGGGGGCCATTGTGGCACTGCAGGGTGTCACTGCCCTGACCCACGGGGATCTCCTCCCAGCAGAGCCACTCTGCTCCCTCGTGAGGAAACAGCTCCCTGGAGAGCTCTGCTGCAGAGAACAGAGATGGCAATGGAAGAGAAGGCTGGGACAGCAGGACCCAGCACAGCCATTGCTCCGTGAGACAGAGCCTTCTCAGGAGCTGGAGACAAGGAGTCCATGACTGCCTGACCCATGCACAGCACACACTGCCCCTGCTCAGGGAAACCAGCCCAGTGCTCCAGAAACTGGAGAAAATCCCCAGCGATCAGAGGGTGCTGGAGTGGCTGGAAGCAAACTTTCCAACCCAATGTGGGGCCTTGGCCAAGGAGGAACAACAGGGACAAGGAAACTGCCCCCAGGGGCTCACCAAGGGAAGACAATCAATGACAATTAGCTGTCCCAAGAGGAAGATGAGGGACACCAAGAGCTGTCCCAAGAGGAAGGACACCAAGAGCAGTCCCAAAGTGAAGATGACAATGTCGAGGTGTCCCAAGGAGAAGGGGACAAGAAGAAAGCAAAGTGTCCCAAGGGGAAGACAACAATGACAAAGAGCTGTCCCAAGGGGAAAAGGAGATCAGCTACAACCTCAGGGACAACGCCCTGGGCCCGGTGAACAAGGGTTCCTGGCCCTGCTGCCCAGGAGGTTCGTGGCTGTCTCAGCACTTTGGGCCCTGACACAGCAGCAGAGGCCATCGCTGCCGTGCCCAGCTCGGCTCCTGCCACAGCCGGTGCCGCTGCCCCAGAGCCAGCAGGTGCCGCCTGGCCAGAGCTGCCAAGGCACAGGAGGAGGCCGTGGCAGCTTCTCCTGCCCTTGGCGAGTAGGTGGGAGCTGCAGGGCCAGGCAGCCAGGCAGCTGCCCCACACAGCCCCTGCAACCAGCCCAGCCCTTTGCCCAGCTGGCCTGAAGCCCGTGGCCTCCCCGGACAGCAGCTGGGGCACAACGGGGTCGCTGCTGCCGGTGCCAGAGACCGAGGATGTGGCCTTGGCTAAGGAAGAGTGGAAAGAATCTCTTGACCGAAAGCTGGCCCAAGGGCCAAGTGACAGAGCCCAGGTTCTGTCCCTGGGGCCAGGTGACAGTGAAGAACTGTCCCAAAGGGAAGACAAGAGACACCAAGACCGGTCCAGGTGAGAGGGGACAGAGGCCAAAGCCTGAGCGGTGCTGCAGGAGAGCCGGCACAGGCCTCGCTCAGGCACACACAGACCCTCGGCCTCCTGCTGGGAACAGCCCGGCGTGACAAGGGAAATTGTGACTGGAGAAGGGGTCCATACCGAGGGACAACAGCGCTGTTCGGGGACAAACATCCTGCTTCTAGTCCCTGGAAAGAAGCACAACACAGGACAGAAAAAGGGCAGAAAAAAAGCCAGGAGGAGAGCATGGACTGCAGGGCAGAATCAAGCCCACTCAAGAGCCCCAACACCTCTGAGGCATTTCCAGAAAGGTCTGAAAGAGCAGACTGTGCATGACAACAAATTTGCATAGAAAGCAAGAAACCTGTCTCCAGGGCAGGGAAAACCCTCCACAAAGGACATCCCTCAAGCCTGGGCAGTGCTCCCAGGATCATAGCAATCCCATATGGATCAAGGAATGAACCAGGAATGAGACCACCATTTGGATTGATGCTGGAACCATGACTGCTGATCTCTTCCTCTCTTTTTTTTTCTCTTGCTTTGTCTCTCTCCTTCCCTTTAACTCATATCTTCTTCTTCCCTTTCCTTTCTACCAGCCCCTTTCTCCCAAAGCCCCTGACAGCTATAGATAGTCTGGTTTAGGGACTAACATAGCCGTAGCTGTGCCAATTATGTAATTTATTACTAAAACTTGGGGAGCTTTTGCAGATCAGACCCTGTGACTTTTCTTGTTCCTTTTGATCATGAGCATTTATGAGTCTTGGGTGCTTCCTTCTCCCTGAGGGTGGATTCACAAGGGGGTGGCTTCACCATGGACACACTAATCAAAGTTCTCTCTCAAGCAGTTTTCCTCTGGGTGTACTTGGGAATCACCTTGACCAGTTTGTCCCAGCTGGGCTGGTAATGCCAGTTCAAATCCTGCCAGCTGCATTCCCCCCTAAGGACAAGGGCTAACTGGTTCAGCAATGATTAAGCTGTGTTCACCTCAGTGTCTTTCCTTGATGGATTTTCCATTCCTGTGACAAGCTAACAGGAACCAGGCTTTACATTTTCATATAGGCTTAACATAGACACAAGTCCTGCCAAGAAAATAGGGTGAAATTCAGTCACTATTTAAGTTAGTGATGAAACTCCCACTGACTCCTTTAGATCACATTTTCTTCCCTGAACTTTACTGCTTTATCCCAGTGATATGACTGAGGACAAAGTGAGCAGAATGTCAATGGCTGGTTTTATAACCAGACCAACTTTAGCTGCTGCAGCAGCTGCTTTTTACCTGGCCATCAAGCACAGGGCAAATATAGGAGCCATCAGACTCAGGGAAGTGGCCTGTGTCTCATCCTCGTCCCCATTGGTGAGCAGACTCAGTGACCAGACATGATCCGGCTCACAACTCTTCTGTCCCGTTCTTTAAATTCTATATTAAACAAAATATGAGCCACACATTAAAGCTGGAGTGGATTTGAAATTGGGCTGTACAAGTTCACCAATCACTTATAAACCATTTGAACGGGTGCCATTTTAATTCAGCACTTGACTGTACATTTATCCAGAAAATAAATGCACTAATCTCAGGTCAGTTAGAACAAAAATTGCACTTTTAGAAAGCATATCTTATATTGAGCTCTCATTCACAGTTTGTGTTTAAAAGCAAGGAATCTTACTTTTATGTGGCTGCCTGGACAGAGAATACATTTAAACAGATCATGAGGATATTTTCTCACAAAACATTTAACTGAAATACTTGATTTTGAGGAACTGGATGCTGAAGCTGCTCCTGTGGCCATGCAAGAGAATTTTCTCTAATGTACTGAAACATTTAGCAGAGTGAGGACAGCATCACATATTTCCCTGTTATACCTTTTCTTTGGCATCTGATTTTGACCACAGAGACACAATACAGATCCAAAGATGAAACTTGTGCCTGGCTCATTAGCACAACCATTTTCATGTTCTGAAAATATATTGTCTCCTGTTCCTTATGGCAGCTGGATGGCTGCCACTAACAAGCAGTTGCTTATGAAAATCATTTCTCCACATGTTCTTAAAATAGAAAAAGCAAAGTATGCGCTGGCAGAGTTTTAATTTCAGACATTCAAATCTCAGGGCAATACTGCAGCTTAGTGAACAAGACAAGGCACATCTGTAATGTACTATAGCCCACATTCTGTCCCACTGGCAATTCATTTTCTACCATGATGCCTTTTCCATTCCAGTTAGTGGTGTGAACAAATAGGAAAAGGGCATCAAGTTATTTACTGGATGTGACTCAGAAAGCAGAATCAAATTTCACAGCCAGGGAAGGACAAATGGGAAGCTGATAAGGAACAATTTTCTTGGGACTTTGTGCTGAATGATGGTTTCTTCCAGACCTGTCCCTCCTCTGGTCTCACAGATCCATTTATTACATCTGATTTACCTTACTCTTTTCACTTCTTACCTTGCCTCTTCAATTTTCACTAAATTCAGGCCTGTGAGATATATTACAGAAGCTGATTCCTTTGTTATTTTTCACTGGAATGGAGAGACCAATGCTGAGCATAGAGGGGACAAAAGGAGAGAGGTGCTGCTGTGCACACACTATCAGAGCCTGCTACAGCAGAGACAAATTCTTTCCCAAGTTAATTAAAACCCTTCTTATTCAATCACTCACCAAAAAAAGGCAAAATTTGGGAATAATACAGACCATCTATCCGTTATCTATTTAATCCTGACCCTCATCCTAGTACAGTCTCAATAATTCAGTTTTTAACTTGTTGGACACCATGAGATTGATTATTCCTTAAGCACAGGAATAATAAATATTATTAATAATAATTAATGCATGTAGAGCTTTCTGCAAAAAGATAGTTGCTATAGAAACATTAAGCTGTTCATATGTGTACAATCATTATTGCAACTTATTTAATTTGAAAATAAGAGGATCCATACATGGCAGAGGTTAATTTTACAAGTGTTTATTGTTTTGTTGTTTTTTTGCTCTTTTTTATTTAATAAAACAGACACCTAAACATATTTTGTTTACTTATTAACTTACAGATAACAGGTTACATTTAGGGCTGAATTATTTCAGTCTCATACAGCTATTAAATCAACCTGGGTTTGCAGCAGAATAAGGCTGGAGCAGCAGAAAGTGAATCACATCCATAATTTGTACAGTTCCTTAGGTAATCCTTGTTGCATTTCAAGGCCATTGGAAAAGTACTAGTGTAGAGAGTATTAATTGCTTTGCTGGTCATTATTTCTATCTGCCAGACTGTTAATAGATAATTTTGGTGGGAAAATTCATTCTGGAAAATCTTCAGAAGAGGTTTATATGTATTATCTATGTTCAAGAAACAAAAGTACATATAGATGGGTACCTCATTCCTTCCTCCACCTCCATATTTGAAACAAGAGTGACACACCAGCAGAAAATAAATTTAAATTCTCTGGTGGAGTGGGCTGTTGCTTTTGGAGAATGAAGAATGTCGTGAGCCATGACTGAAAATACTACACTGAAAGAATTAAAATGCATCAAAGACAAGATTTCTTCTATTTCCCCTATCTCTGCTTTTAGGACAAGAAATTAAATCTTAGCAAAGTTCTTCGGTAATCCAAATTTCTAATATTTTTTTTTCCCCTGTTTTATTTTGGTTTTAATACTAGATTTCAATTTAAAAAAAAAAGTATGAAGATATCTCAACCCATCTCAAGGTCATCTCTAACACTGTTATCACAATTCACAGAGCCTTTGGAAAGACTTTTTTTTTTGGGGCTGAACAAATCATAATTTGTCATCTCAAGTTTTTGAGCCATCTGTTTGAAGAAGCATTAAATCTACACTATTTTTATCCAGCAACTACAGCATCTATTTTTATTTTGTTATGTTTTACAGGAGCTCTATTGTTAGCTTTTTCAAAGCCTTCTGAAGAGGTTTAAACTTCTGATGACTTTTTATTTTTAACTTTCTAAATTGCTACCTGTTCTTAATTTACCTTCATTTCTGTATTATGAGGTAGCTCAATGTGTTCAGACTGTCTGGTTTCCTTAAATCTTAGAGATGACCTGTTTCCATTTGATACATATTTATGTCTGTATTTACATATAATGTTTGAAATGAAAATTTAGAACCCAAAATTACATTTCTCTATCACGTCAGTGTTCAGCAGATGCAATGATGGATTAGTACATATTCCACTATATCCCACTTTGTTTTGATTCTATGGGCTGGCACTAAGAAACAAGGAATGTACATCAACCTTCCACAAAACAAATCTTTATTTTTTCAGGACATAAACATCAGAAGGGAGAATTTCTTTTAAAGAAGCAGATGTCTGCACCAAACAAGAGAGCTGGTTTGGTCTGTAGGAGAGAAGGAGAAGGAGACTCTTCCCTGAAGAGGAAGGAAAAAAGGTAACAGAAAAATGAAGCAAATAAATAAATCCCAAATTAATTCAGAAGATGTTGCAAGAATTATGTCTGAAGTATATGAAGCATATTACTTATAAGTACTCCTTTCTATTTCTTTCCTATTTTAATTTGACTGGATAAAAACTGTTTCAAGACTGCTGATATTTCAGGAATGCTAAAATGTACTGGCCCTGAGAAACAGAAACCAGCTAAGTGTAAAACTCAGGGACTTCTGGTGCATAACAGTTTTTTAAACAAAATCATAAATAAAACATATAGAATAGATCAACCAGTAAATTAGCACAGAGTGGGGCAGCTGGGTGCAGTGTAAACTCCAGCACCAATAAAGCCAATAACAATTTTGACAATGATTTCACAGGGACCAATAACTCAGCTTAGAGTACACATATTTCAGACAGTAATTTTTGAGAAAAATGGATGAATTTAAATGAAAAACTTCTGGTTTGAATTCTGAAACAGCCAAAATTGACTTATGATTTGATGAAATAATTCAGATTTGAATTCTAGAACTTTTGTTTCTGAATACATATAAATGTACAAAGGGTGATATAAACAGTTCAAGTGTTGCTGGGCTGGGCTTTTACTGATTTAACAGTAGATCTGAATTATTTTACTAGATTGCTCATCTTAGGTCCTGTGCAGGAGTAATAGTTGGACTCAATCCTTGTGGGTCCCTTCCAACTGGGCATACTCTGTCATTCTGTGAAACCATGTCTAAAAGAAGCACTTATTTAATTAGTCTAAACATAAAATTAAGTAGAAAAAAAATCCTCAAAAGAAATGGGCTGGGTTTTCATTTAATTTTGGAGGCCAGTGGCTAAATTCCTGGTAAAGGGTTCTTCTCAGCAGGATGACATTGAGGCAGTTCAGCCTCAGTTTCTGGAGACCAATTTGGGCCAGTGTCTACTGAATGTGAAGACTGAGCCACTCACCTGGAATAGGAAAATTTCCTGAGGACACAAAAAAGAGAAGAAACTTTCTTCTGGTGTGATCCAGAGCTTCATTGGATTCTCTTTCTTGACCTAATACAAGCAATAAGGAAAAATCTATATGAGATTGGCTGGATTAGGATTAGAGTTTAAGTGTTAAAAACAAGAAGTGGTTTATTTATGAAAAATTGATTTGAGTCCTGTTGTGTTCTATATTTAGCCAACAGCCATGTTTTGAGTGTGTAATACATATTTATGTGAGTAGTACATATCTAATAAACCCATCATTAGCCACCACTTTTTAATCAAGGCTCTCAGAACATAGAAAGAAGGAACTCTGTTATATTGTCTTCATTTGTTTTATTTTCCAATAAAAGGTAAATTGCTGCTTTCCTTTTCTTGTTAAAAGTTGACTTTTTTGGGTTTTTTTTCCTGGATTTAATTTGCTATTGCAGTGCTTTCAAATGTTTTGCTATTAAAATAAGTAAAAGACAGAAAAGGACTGATAGATAGACACATCCTGTTTTGTCTGCCTTGATATATTTTGCCATCCACAAGAATAGTCCTGTCACCATCTTGTTTGCAAAGCTGTGCTGGATAATGTCTTAAAAAAGTAGAGAGAAGAAATAATGACAACTCTCACTTCAAGTATTAAAAAGAGGTTTGGGATTTTTTTTTGCTCTTAAGAGTTCAGACTCTCTTCCCTTGCAAAGCAAATAATGCAAAAACTCCAAGAAGCACAAGATTAGATCAGAGCTCTGCTCTTCTATATCCTGGGCAAACACAAATTAAAGTTAAGAATTCTTAACCCTGCACTGCTGAATGGAGGCAAAACCAGAAGGGCAGAAATAAGATAAGAAAGCAGATCAGGAATAAAGAGCCCAGGTCCTAAATCCATGTGTGGGTTTAGGCACAGCAATGACCTAACCTCACATGCTGATGTGACAGTACCCAGGACTAGACTTTAAGGAGCTTGAGGAAGGGTTTTGTGACAGCTGAGTTGCTCCAAGATATTGTGGAAGGAATGTTAATCTTTAACCCTGGACACTAAGGAGGATCGGATCCTTTCCAGTGCTGTTTGCTGATCTTTTACTTCCACCTGTGATTCTCATGTTGTATTAGAGGGTCTCATGCTAAAGTCTGACTGGAGCTTCCTTTTGAGATTATACCCTGACACCATTTTTTTAATTGAAGTTTGGGGGGGAAATTCATGTCTCTAACAGCAAAAAGTAACTGTTTCTTCACAAAGATGTCTTTCCAGCATTGAAGGTAGGAAGAGAAAAACTTAACTGAAAAAAACCTGTCTGTAAAATTCTAAAGTGCCAGGTACATAGCAGCTTTATTCATACAATTCTATCATCCTGCTAAGCACTTTGCAATCTTTATTTCTTTCTTCTCACCTTCTGCAGGCCCATATTAAATTCATTCTCTGTCTCATGGACTACTGAAAGCCTCTTGGGATGAATTACAGGCTCTCCAAGAGGATGGATGGCAGGTTTTACCAAATGGCTCACAAACATGGACATTGGCCAAGGAGGTATCCAGGCCACGGCTCCCTGTGGCTGCCCTTTGACAGCTCTGTCTCCCAAACACCTGCCACTGTCAGTGCCCAAAGCCTGTTGAAAGGGAAATTCTAATTTTAACTGCTCAGGAGTAGCTCCATGCTGTCCCAGCATTTCTTATTTGTGTAATGCAGTTTCTAACTTGGACTAAGAAACACTTGAGGTGTGTGCTAATGTCCCTTATAAGGCTGGATGTGGTGACAAGATGCAGTGTAGTGGCATGTGGGATATTGGTGTCAAAGTCAGAGGTTAGGAGTGAACACAAAGGCAACCTTTTGGGCATCAGCCATCCCAAATCAGAGGCTCTGTGGACAAAGGAAGGACTCGAGCACAGAAAACCACTGCAGAGCTGAGGACATCTCTTCATGCTTCACTGAGTACAGACAGAACAAACAGAAAGGTAAAGGCTGCAGGATCAGGGAATAAAGTTCCAAGCTTTATGTTCTTCTTATTTTCTTACAATTTTCTCTTTCTCTGAACTGAGACAGAAAGCTTTCTTCTCTCCTGAGAGGGGGCAGCTCTGCAAGGGACTGGACACACAGGACACACGTTTTGGGGAGAGGTTACAGAATCAGCCACAAATTCAGCAATCTGATACAGACCAAACCTCCCACTGAGCAGCTCTGGCCAGGGAATGTAAAGGAGTTTTTGAAGGCAGAGTGAGTGCACGACTATCAAACGAGATCATAAAGCCAGTGCAGAGAGCCAATATGAGCCAGGATGCAGGTTCAGAACTGGGTGAGAAACAAAGAAACTTCAGTCAATAAAGCACGAGTGCTGGAGCAACAGGCACCCTCAGGGTTATATTTTAGGAAAAAGCAATTGCAGAGACTGAAGAGAAAATAAACTCTGATTTCTAAACACTCACAGATAGCTGATAGCTTGGAGTTTTAGCAGTTGCTTCCATTACAGCCATCTCATGCAAATACTGCAGGTGAATCATTATCATAATCGCCCAGTTTGGAATACAATCATCTGTGTGCTGTTCCATGTGAGAAATATTAATTCTGTTTGCCTGTCTCTCTCAGTGGTGCCAGATGAAAAACTCCAAACTATTTTCTTTATGTGTGACAATAAAATCAATTGGATTCCACAATTGTTCAGAAATAAGGAACTTAAATATTTTAAGAGAAGTTGGTCTAAAATAAGGCCAGGAAAACAATTCTCTCCAACTGTAATTTCCTGCCTGACTGCACAACAATTTTCTACAAACTATCTTCTTCTGTAGATTCAGCTGGAATTCAGCCAGGATGGATTCTATTAGAAAAACACTTACATCCATCTTTAAAACACTTGACACCAGCCCTGTTCACACAGCTGATCCATTTGGACCGGGCAGGTTGGATGAATTCTAGGGAGCATCTTGTGTTCCCCTAAATGAAAGGAACATCAAAGGAAAACTGACTGTGGTGGGTGTAGAACTGACAAAACAAACAGGCAAAACAAACCAGCAGAAATAAGTCTCTCCACTCAGATTTTTGTTTCAGCCTGCAGGTTGGAATCTTTCATGGAAGTAATTCTCCCTCTTAATTATTTTTCCCGTGATAAATTTCAGTCTTTCAGTAACTTTCCAGTCTTCAATCTCTTTTTCTTTTTCTTGGGAAACTTTAAGGGATGAGGCTTTGAGCACTGCAGTCTTCCTCCTTAAAAAATATATATATTGACTTAATAGCTTTTTTTTCTTTCTATTCTTTTTTCCCACTAGGAATCTTGACAGGACAGATCAATTGGGCCTACTTAAAACCTTTTTATTTCTAACCATATTATTTTCTGTTCAACTTAACAGTGACAGGTCTCTGGGCTGCAATCTAAAAGCTTCAATATGCATTTCTGACCTACACAGGTGGAAAAAGCACAATTTTTCTTAAATGAGACATATTCTCTGTCACAGTACCTAAAAAATTACATAGTTAAACTGCTTCTTCTAAATTATTGAATAGACACCAAGCAGTAAAATTGTACAACTTGGAAGAGTTTTCAGCTGTGTTTGTCAAACTGTTCATTGAATTTTACATAAATGTAACTTTTGCAAAATAATATTGACAAGAAAACAAGAAATAGTTTTGAACAAAAAATTTCTCCTATCTGGATGTATTGTGAAAAAACAGGTGAAAAACATTGAGGAAAATGTGTTTTCATGTGCATGTGGTTAGAACTGGTTAAAGTTTACTAAGTGCTAAATATGTCAAAGCATAGTCTTAAGGACAAGTATATAAACATATAAATTTGTCTTATAAAATAAAAATATATACATAGAAGGCAAATATGTTCGTATATATGTTCATATATTTATATATATATATATATAAAAAAATAAAATGCATTTATTTCTTCTTGTGGCAGAATAAGAAATTTTCTTAATTTCTTTATTTCTTCTTGTGTATTTATTTCTTCACTGGCACGATCTATCTGCTTTTTATTAGTCATGTTTGGGTTTGGGGTTTTTTTGGCTGGTTGGTTGTGTTTTTTGTTTACATTGGAAATAGCTTCCCATTCTTTCCAGGTGGAATTATAAAAATGCAATTTCTCCTCTGTTTGAATTAAGATGTCCTGGAAGGTGCAAGTGGACACCTTCATATTCTGTAACTGCCAGTCCAGGTCCTTCTTTGCATATGGAAATGCCCACATAAGCACCAAACACTAAAAAACACATTTGGAAGTCAGTAAAAGATTGGAGGGAAAACCAGGAAGGGCAAAGCAATCAGAGGATGAAAATCACAAGGAAAAGGCAATGCTGTGTGTGAAAGTAAAGTACAGGGAAATTTCGTTACACTGATCAGAACAGCAACTGCAAATGGAAGAGAACAGGTGACACAGAGTGTGAAGCCTAATGTTGCAGTGTCATTACAGAACAGAGGCCAAAAAAGCAGCATTTTCTTATTTTTTGAATGCAAAATATTCCAAATATTTGCTATTATCAGAAGGGAACAC